GCGCTGTCGCGCCCCCGGCAGCGCATGGGCGGCGCGGGGGCGGGCGACGATGTCTCCGATGAGCTGCTGTCGTCTCTGCTGTCGTGAAAGGACGAGTGGCTGCGAACGCACTGCACGCTTCGCGGACGTTTGCTACTCGGCACGGCCCTGCGAATGCCGGGCGGCGGCGGCCCCGACGGAGGGGCGCAGCGCTGCGCGGCGCGCGCCAGTCTCATGCGCGCGACGCTTGCCGCCTGCGCTGAGGATACGGGCGCGTCTTGAAGGCGCGCGCGCGCGCCCGCCTGGCCGCCGGCCCAGCCCTGGCAGTCTGGCGCCTTCCTGATAACGTCTAGCGACAAGACGTCATTTGCGACCAAAAGAGCCACTGCTTCGCGCATGGCGGCTGCGCCGAACGAAGAAAAACAATGAGCAAGAGCGTCGCGTAGACTCATGACTACGTCACTGCGTCCGGGCCGGGGGCGCGGACCCTGCGCTTGGCGCGACGCGCGCGCTCGCGCGCGCGACCGAACGCAGGCGGGGCGCGACTCGGTCGCGCAGAAGAAAGACGACCCGCCGCGCATGAAATGCAGCGGCCCGACAGCCGCTGACGCGCCGCAGCATGTGCGTGTCAGCGTGAGATTGCGCGGAGATGGTTAGCGGAACCCGAGCTGGCGGGCGGGGCTCGCAAATGCCCCTGCGAGGCCCGCCTTCGTGCGGCGCGCGCCTAGCCGGGCCAGGAGATTGTATTCCTCGCGGCTCGGCAGGTCTGCGATATTCACTTCGGTCGGCGCTCTCTCGACTTAGACGCGCATGCCGAGCGCCCAGATTACCGACCAACATTCGCGCGCGAGGGCGCGAAGATCGGCTGCACTTGCGAAGCCCTTCTTGAGAAGTGCTTCAGCAGCCGTGTTGTCGCTGAAGACGATCAGGTCGCGCCCCCTGAAACCAGATTCCCAAGTGCAGGGACCGAAGGCCACTGCCAGAATCTCGAGACCTGGGATCTGCGAACCGGCCCTCTGCGAGAATGACCCGCGCCGCAGCGGGCGCGCGGCGCGCGCGGGCGCCCCGCGCGCCGGCGCGCCGCGCGCGCGCCTCAAGGTTTCGGCGGATGGCTCCATGTCACAGAAGAACCAGTGAACGTCGATTAGCGCGACCGCCGCGAGGCGCGGCGGGGGCCCGCGCGCGTCGGCCCACATCGCGACGGGCGCCTCGGCGCTCGCCTTGAACATCCTCAGATCAACCGTTCGGCTGTGCAACGCGTCGCGCCGCCAGCAGAGCGAGTCGCGCACGTTGCCGCTCAGTGTTGCCGTGCCCGCGCGCGCGCTGGAAGAGCGGGCGCACCGTTGCGCGCCCCGCTCTCCTGAACTGGTGGGGCGCGCCCCAGGATAGTGCCCCTGCGAGCTTTGCGGCTGCGCCTGCGCGGCGGCGCGCGCGGTGACTGAACGCTCGCGCGGGCGTGGGCGCGAATGGCTTCGGCTATGCAGCCCGTCCATTTTTCTGCTTTGTCGTCCGACGGCGCGGCGCGCATCCCTTCTGGCGACAGCGCGATGCGCGGCCCCAGAATCGCCGGCGGGTTGCCGCATTCCTTTGCATGTTCGGCCAGCGCCGATGGCCCGAGGAGCGCCCTGATGAGGCGAACGAGGCAATTAAGGGCGCGTTCCGCCTCCGCGCACGGCTGCGCGCGATGGCGGCGCCAGGCGCGCGCGCGTTCGCGCCCGCCTCGGCCGTGCGCAGGGCCGAAGAAATCGTCGACATACAGGAAAAAATGACATGCATAATCTTTCTCGCGATTGTCGTGATCAGCGCGCCGATTCTCTCCCAGCCGCGCACGCTGGCGACTGAATTGCAGCGCGGGGCGCGTCGCCGCGCGGGGGGTGACCTGGCGCAGCCGGCCTGTGCCGACAGGTAGGGAGTTGCGGCGTGCCATGACCGCAGCGTCTTTATGTTTGAAAGCAACGTGCACGAACCTCCGGTGATCGGGCCAGAGTGGGCAGCGTCGGAATGCTGCATCCACGTCTGCTCTTATGAGCGTAGTACCATCACTCACCTGTCGCGCGCGCGCGAGCGCCCCTTGGGGAGAGGCAGAATAGAGCGCATCTCGCCGTCTCGGCGACGAGCTTGGCGAGGAAAAAACATGGTAAATTGTCTCGTGGCGTAATTTTTCAGCCGGCATCGTCGCGCAATTTACGCCGCAGCTGGTATAATCGTCGACGGAGCGCACCTGCGTGCCCATGCGTGTTGCGGACGCGCGACACCTGCGCGGAAGGCGCGCGCGACCTTCGGGGGGCCGTCGGCCTTGAAACCTCGTGCGACCCCGAAACGTTGCGCAATGATGATCTCCGTTGGATCCACATTGTCGACAGCCACGAGCGGAGGCGAGAGACGGCCGAGCGCGGCCTCCTCCTGCGCTTGCTTGAACAATGGTTCTTCGAACTCGCCGTCTCTGAGTGAGGCGAACAATCGCTGGTTATTCTTCAGCTCGCCTGCTCGCGGCGGACCAGCGATCGCGCCGGCGTGCCAGCGCGGGGCGCCCTTCTCGAGATCAGCGATTTCGACCAGTTCAACAAACTCGCGCGGCAAGCCGTTGCCCGAAGCCGGTGGCCGGCCAATTACTGGCGCCCCCTGCGATGGCGACGCGCGGTCTTCGCGCCGGGGCGCAGCCGGCGCAGCGCGCAGAGCTTCCTCCACGAAGAAACGCGCGCACTCCAGGTCGGCGCGATTTGCCCTTCCTGCGAGTGCTTCCAATGAAGTCACGTTTGCGTCGCGCGAGATGGCAGCGACCGTGGCATCGGCGCGGCGCGCGCCCCGTTGCGTTCTCAACGCCGCGCCTTTCTGCTCGATGTGGGGATTAAAGCGCTCGCGGACTCTGCGGGCTTGCTCCGCTGACCTTGCCGCTGACCAGGCGCCTGCTCTTGCTGCGTCGTCTGTTAAATTCTTCGCGCCCGCGAACGGCGCGGCCCCTCTTTGAAGCGCTTCGCGCGTGCAACCGAGCTTGCCTGCGTTGGCGGAGGACGCGGCCTCCTCCTCGAGTCTGCGGAGAGATTCCAAAATCGCACGGCTGCGCACTGCCGCCTGCCAACCGACAAACGCGCGCGCGCTGCATTATGCGGGCGCGGGAGCTCCGCCGAGTCTGGCGGGGCTGGCGGCGCTGGTAGTCAGCGCCGACGCTTTGGCGGCGCGGGGGGCGTCGGGCGCCGACGCGGCGGCTGCGGCGGCGCGGGCAGCCGCGACAGCATGACAATCATAGCGCTAACACACCTGAAAAGAAAGCTTGCACGTTTGACGCTACTCGCGCGCACAATTGCGCCACGCTGATCCCCGAACCTCGCCGCGCGGCACGCGTCGCGGGAGCGGGCGGCCTATTTGCGGCGCAAGGCGCTCGATGGGGAAAACCGAAGCAAAAGCGCTTTGCTTTCGTTGCGGAACGGATGCGCAGCCAGCGCAGAAGTAGCACATGCCGCGCAGAATGTCGCGCCGAGCAATGTTGTTTCGTAGAAGACGCGAGCGCGCCGATGAGACAAATGCCTCGGCGCGCTTCGCCCTTGCCCATCGCCAGCAGCGCGGAATCTCGCGCTGGTGCTATCCTGTCGCGCGCGCAACGGACAGCAGAGCGCGCGCGGCGCGTCCGATCGATTGGGCGCCCGAGTTATCCGGAGCAACTCGGGCCCGGGGTAACGCGGGTTTGAATTCCCGAAGAAACGAGCCCGAGTTAGCCCTGACCCGAGTTACCCCTAATGATTTTGGGCTCTGGACGCCCGAGTTAACTGGGGCAACTCGGGCCCAGGGCAACTCGGGTTCGGAACCCCGAAAAGCGAGCCCGAGTTAGCCCTGACCCGAGTTACCCCTGATGACTCGGGGCTCAGAGTCGACGCGCGCCAGGGCAATGGTTTTGAGCGCGTCCGCATGGCCCTCGGGCCCTGCGGACCCGAGCCGCGAACCTTCTTCGGCGGTCGCGGGGGCGCGTTCGGCTTCCGGCTGTTGTCGCTCCACCCCCAGCCGTCCATCTGGGGGCGCTTCCAGGCGCCGTGGCCGCTCGAGGAGCTACCCTTGTGGGCGGCCTTCCAGCCGTCCTCGTGGCTGGGCGCGGCCGTGCCAACGCTTTGCCGGCGGCCTCCGCCTTGCCACTGGGCGCCTTGTCGGATTCGGCGCTGTCGCATATCCCTTCTGAGGTGCTTGGCAGCGTGCGGTCCACTTTGCAGATCGCCCGGCGCAAATTGAACTCCGGGTCCCCCGCGACCGCTCTCTCTGCCCAACTCTCACGGGCGACCTCGCCGTAAATCATCGCGAGATTGACGCGCAGTTTTCGCCCGGGGGAGGGCGCGCGAGCGCGGCGCGCGCGTGCTGGCGCGCTTGCGGCGAGCCTGGGCCTGGCAGGCCACCGCCTTCACTTCCCGGCGCTGCAGGGCCGCGCGCGGTGGAAGCTGCCGAGCGCCACTGCGGTCACCTCGTACCTGCGGGCGCCCGCCGACGCGGCGACGGTTAATGATTGCGTTGCGACGCGACGCCTCTGCCACGCAATGGCTCAGCTCGTGATCTTTTGGGGGTCGCAAACATTCCCTTCCGGGGGTCGCTCGTCGGAGCGGCCCCGAGAACGCGGGCGAGGTCCCTGACCTCCTTGGACGCCTCGGGCTGGTCGTCAACGCCATGCGCGTCGTCCGGGGCCGTCCAGGTTGCAACCCATTTATTCATGTCTGTGAATGCGAAGGGATTCTTGATCGCGCGATTTTCAAGCTTCCACACCTCGGAGGCGAGCCAGTCCGCCATCTTACAACTGACGCGCCACGCGGGCCGCGCGCGCGGCACGCCGTTTCGGCGGGCGCGCCTGAGCCAGAAGGACGGCGGCAGCCCGTTGAGCGCCGGCTGCTTAGCAATTTCTTCCGCCAGGTTAACGCGCGTGATGGCCCAGCGCATCGCGCGCCAAAACGCACACACACACACACACACACACACACGCACACGCACACACGCACGCACGCGCACGCGCGCACGCACGCACGCACGCACGCACGCACGCCCGCCCGCCCGCCCGCCCGCCCGCCCGCCCGCCCACGCACACACACACACACAAGCACAAGCACAAGCACAAGCAGAAGCAGAAGCAGAAGCAGCAGCACAAGCACAAGCACAAGCGCAAACACAAGCACAAGCACAAGCACAAGCACAAGCACAAGCACAAGCACAATCACAATCACAAGCACAAGCACAAGCACAAGCACAAGCACAAGCACAAGCACAGGCACAGGCACAAGCACAAACACAAGCACAAGCACAAGCAAGCACAAACACAAGCACAAGCACAAGCACAAGCACAAACACAAGCACAAGCACAAGCACAAGCACACACACACACACACACACACTCACACACTTACACGCAATGTTTGCGTCGGCGGCTGGGCCGACGGCGACTGCTCCGGCGGATTGGCAAACGGGGGCTCGCTGCGTGCAAACTGAAGCCGCCACGCCCCCCCCCTCCCCCCTCCCCCCCCTCCCCCCCCACACCCACGCTCCCCCCTCCCCAACACCCCCACCCACCCACCCTTTCCCCCTCCCCCCCCCCCCCGCACCCTTGCCTCCCCCCCCCCCCACCCACCCACCCACCCTTCCACCCACCGACCCTTCCACCCACCCAGCCACCCACCCACCCCGCCCCACCCCCACCCCCACCCCCCATCCCGCACCCGCACACGCACGCGCACACGCACACGCACCCCCACCCCCATCCTTGTTCTTTATTATTATATACCCCCACCTACCTCGTATTCCGGCCGATAGCAACCCGATCCGGGACCTCCCATCCGGACTATAAACAAACAATACAAGGTGGTTGTTTTTCTTGTCAACATCTAGTCGTTGACGATGCGAAAAACGTGCCAGGAATGGGACGCGGCGCGCATCGCGCGCGGCAGTCGATCTGGGCCCGCCCATCCTGACTGTAAAAAATCAATATAACGTCTTCGCTTTTTCTTTTTCAGCATGGCCTGCCTTGTCGCCGACGGTGCGAAATATGTGGCAGCAGTGGGACGCGGCGCACATATGGGACGCGGCGCACATCGCGCGCGGCCGTCAATCCGGGCCCGCCCATCCTGACTGTAAAAAGTAAAAGATCCATACGAAGTCTCCGTTTTTTCCTCTCGGCATGGCCTGCCTTGTCGCCGACGGTGCGAAATATGTGGCAGGAACGGGACGCGGCGCACATCGCGCGCGGACGTCCATGCGGGCTGCGGGCCCTCCCATCCTTTTCGTAAACAAACAATACAGAGTTGCCGTTGTTCCTTTCATCATGGCCTGTCTTGTCGTCGACGATGCGAAATGCGTGGCAGGAATGGGGCGCGGCGCACATCGCGCGCGGACTTCTGGGGCAACCCCAAGGCGGGAGGGGCCACCTTACTTGTCAGAAGCAATGCCATGCTGATTTTCCCCGCCATATAATTGTTCTTGTCGTCCACCCCGCAAAAGTGCATGGCAAGAATTGGGCGCGGCACACCCCCCTCCCCCCCCGCTCGAAGTGAATGGAATGACCTTCCCGCTTGAGCGCCGAGCAAAATTTTCTCAAAGTTGCGCTCCCGCTTTGGCTCGGCGCACGTTTTTAGCTCGCCAATTCATTGGGCGCCGGGGCGTTCCAGGAGGCCCTGGGGTGACGAATGCCTGGGAGGTTTTTGACTGTTCAGGCTCTTGGAGGGCCTCCTGAGGCTCCCCGCGGTTCCTTGGCGCTACGGCCGTTTGGAGGCCATCTTGGATGTTTTGGAACGATCTTTCGGCGACTCAGGGCCCCTCGGATCGTCTCGGGGGCGTCTCGGCTCTCTTGGGGCGGTCCTGGGGCGCTCTAGGACCTGGAAGTCAGCGCCGAAGAAGAAAACCATCGCTGGGACCGACGTGCCTAGGACCTGCTCGGGGTTCTTTTCGTCCGGGGGCCCCCAGGGGCCGCCCCGCGCGCGCAAACTCGAAGATTGTTAACTAATTACCGAAGATCTTAGCACGCCTCTGGCCCGTTGGGCTGGCCCGGGACCTGCTCGGGGTACCTTTCGTCTGGGGGCCCCCAGGGGTCGCCCCGCGCGCGCGAACTAGAAGATTGTTAACTAGTTACCGGAGATATTTGCACGCCTCTGGCCCGTTGGGCCGGCGAATTTGTCCCAAGCCTTTCTGAGATCTCGACCCCTTTCTCGGGAGCAGTTTTGCGTCCTGGATATTTTCTGATTGGTCCGGGGGGCCAAACACCGTTCCCTGGAGGGCGAAGTCGAGGGAAAAACGTGCGAGGTCGAGGGAAAAATGCCAGCACGGAGAAAATCTTATCGTCGGGGATGTGGGCCCAAGAGCCGCGAAAGCTTCCGAAGAGCCTCGAAGCCCGAACCGGGAGGGCCCGTCGCGGCGGCACGGCGCCGGCGTCCTGGGGTATCCTCCACTCGCACTGAAATGCCCGCGCAGCCCCTGCTGTGCCATCACTGTTTCGTATGTTGTGGGAGGGCGGGTGGGAATGGGCATGCCCATGCTCGACTCGCTCGAATGACATGCTTGACCCCCCACCACCACCACCCCACCCCCCCCCCCCCCGCTCCACCCCACCCCCCAACAAACACCCGCACCCCCTCCCCCACACCCCCTGGCAACCCCCGGCCCCCCCCACCCCCCACCCCCCCCCACCCCCCCCCACACCCCACACCCCCCCACCCTCCCCCACCCCCTCCCCCCCGCACCCCCCCACCCCCCCCACACCCCCCCCCACCCCTCCCAACACTCCCCACAACCCCCCGGACCTTCCCCCTCACCCCACCGCCCCCCCCCCCCCCCACCCCCCACGCACCCCCCCACCCCCCCCCCCACCCCCCCCGCCACACCCCCTCACACCCCCAGACACTCCCCCACCCCACCCCCACCCACCCACACCCC